GGAAGCGCACGAGGGACGGGTTCGCGGGCTTGCCGATCTTGTCGAGCTCGTCTGGGGCAATGCGCAGCACCCCCGCTGCAACGATGCGTTCGTGAGCGGCAGAAGGAGGAGAATAGAGTACGCACGCTTCATGGAGATGTACTCCCATGCGGCGTCGATGGCGGGGCTCGGGGTGCCGCGGTACTCGGACGGGAAGCGGAAGGAGCCATTGAAATACGTGGTATGGTAGGTGACCGCGTTGAGTGCGGGTGCTGGGAGAAGGGTCAGCGTCGGTGTCGAGACGGGCGGTGAACGCACAAACAGTATGTGGAGAGCCGCGCAGCGCACTGTGTGTCGGACGGGCGGCGCGCGCGCTGGAGGATGACGGCGAGGATTACAATAGCGAATACTGTGAAGGTGGCAATCCAGGGCCAGGAGCGGCGCAGAGCTGAGGACCGGGTGCGGCTGCATTCGCAGACACTGGTGCCGTCGACGTCCAGGTCCGCAGGGTGCGTGAGGAGCTTCTCCGAGGACTCGTGCGGGTCGCCTTGGGCGATGGGTGTGTACTGTTCTGCAGACGGAGGGGACATTCTGTGTAGGTGCGATGTTGCGTGCACTAACCGCGAGACAGGGTGAAGATTCGAAGAAGAGAGCAGATGGGCCCTCGCTGGAGGGCACACGTTGATTGACCAGCGTTACGGGCTCGGTCCGAAGACTGTCGTAAGAACAATACCTGTAAATGTGATATTGGCGAGCTGGGGTAGACTGTACTTGTCGTCCTTCTAGAAAGTTTTTCTGAATGGATTTCTGCCATTGGTCCCTTCCCGCACAGCGCCGTTAGGGTGGCTTGCCTCTCGATCGGCACACATCCAGGGCCCGGGCTGGTGAGTAGGTGCCAAGCATTCCAATGTTCAAATTGTCGCAGCGGATGGGGCCCGAAGGAGGGGTACCATCCAATTGTCTATCAGTATGACGCCTGCGCCGGTGAGCGGGGACCTTCCTAGGTCCGCAGGGAGTATTCGCCGGAGACGAAACTGACCTAGATGTACTTTGCCGTATTCAACGAAGACAAAGCATTGTTGGGCGGAGTGGTTTCGCACAACGTTGGCAGAGAAGCCGCGCATGGAAGCAACATCACATGCTGCCCCCTAACGGCTCTCCAAGTCACTAGTCAATAGCCGAATCGCGATCTCGGACTTAGGCCTCAGATTCCGGAGCGCGCGCGGAGACGCAGCGGCGGTTGCGGAGAACGTGCGATTGCATGCGAGTGGATAGTTCACGTCAAGCTTCAAGACGCGGCAGAAACACGAAAGCCGGGGCGCACATGCCGCGTTGCTGAATTGCTAAGTTGGCAGCCCTTCCATTCGTGCTGAATTGCCCACGTCTGTATCAAGTGGTGACCGGCGAATGTCTATGCCGTCAACTTCCCTGGAGCTGTGCGTCAGAAGAGCCACTGGGCGGCGAACCACATTGAGTAGGGCCACGATGCAATTCATGGGTGCGTATCATTTGTCGTCAGATCACATCATAGTCGGTCAATATGGTATGGTTCAACTGTCAGATTTGGGCTTCTCTACACTGGAGGAGCCGCACCCTCTTTTCAAGCCGAAGCCGCATTATCTTCCATGCTGAAGTTCATGGAGGCATATGGTCACAAGGGTCAATAAAAAAGCACCAGAGCCCAGGCACATTGCGAGAACATACCAGAATAATGAACTGTACCGAAGCAAATTTTGTTCTAGCGCATAACTGGGCCTCGGTACTTGTGTGGAGACATGACACACGGCGTTGAAAGAGCATCTCCGAATGGTCCCTCATATTCACGCACGTTCAGCAAAAATACCATGCTGTTGAGCTGAACCTGTCCGGACTTCAAGCAACGCTGCCGTACATCCCAAAGGAATGGATCCACCGGAGAAAAAAGGCATAAGACACGCGTCGATACATATGGTATATCACAAGGGCAATCGTCAAAATGATTCACGCGAGTTGCCTTGGTGGAGGCTCTTCATGAAACCTTCGTGCCCTATAACCAGCCCCAGTCATTGATGAACCTATGTGGTCAGCGATGCGTGTACATGGAAGGACATGGAAGGACTGCGCATAACAAACGAACACACCTCCGTGCTAGAGTTTATGTCGCCCGTATGTCAAGCACACCACTTAAATCAGCAGAGAATTTGCAGAAAACGGCACAAATACAGACATGGCTTAAAGTACGAGGGTTTCGTGCCACCTAGCGGGCTCAATATCAAACTACAAGCCATGAGAAGACACAGCAGGCGACGCCCAGCGACGAGAGAGTGACAAATTGAAGACAAAATATCCATTTAATCATTACAGGACGTACCACTATTTTGCTTTGACTACTCATCGTGGCAATCATCTGTCATATCGGTGTACCCATCATCGTAGCGATCGTATTTGACCTTCATCGCATCAGCGTACTCCCCATCAAGGGTCACAACGGTCGTACGAGTGGAGATGGTGCGGGATAGGAGCGGAATGGTTGACGGACGACGACGCGAACAAACCTGGTATGGTGTATAAATCCAGAATTAAAATAAAAATAAAAATAAAAATGACGCGAACAAACCTGAGCGTGACATCGCGCGTCGACGCGCAACGTCACGAGCCTTGTCCTCTACAGCCCGCGCGCAAGACGGTCCTCGCTGACCCGACGCCTCCGCAAATAGCGAAAATAACTTAAAATTATCTCTGGGTATCTCTGACTGCCGCTGTGCGCACTACTGCATGCTGCAAAGGTAGAGCAGCCTGCTGTGGGCGCCCAGCCTCGTGTTGTATCTTAATGACTGACAAAGCGATAAGTAGAGATGCTACCGCCAGCCCCTGCAGGGCCCCTCGACTGTTTGGATCCAAAGTACATGTCCGCATCCAGGAAAGCCTGACCCGAAGCTAAAAAAATCGATACTGGCACAATGGTTCTGATATTTCTGCTGGGCGCGACGAGAAGCAAGGGTCGCGCACAGTGCTGGATACAAGTTCACTGGTGATTCACATGCATGCCTACCACAGCCAGATACCTCCTCAGAGGCCCGAGATAGCTCCATCTCATTTTGTACGGTTCGGGTCTGTACGAAGCAGATCGACGCGGTATGGCGACGTACATGGGGAAGTGAACATTATCGACGTGATCTGACTCCGCTCCGCAACCACGGATCGGAGAGGAGCTCCTTCGCAGACTGTCGATCTTCCGGAACCCATTGCAATATCTTCCGCATAAAAGCAAAGAAATCAGTCTTGCTGTCGTCCTTCAGCTTGTCCTATAACTCTTCTAGTGATATCATGGGTACCTCGGTCTTCAAATTGTCTGCAACGCTAGTCAGAACATGGCGAGACAATGAGGAAGACAACACTGACAATTCTCATCAAAACATGCAAACATGATAGGACTGCGTCGTAAGAACTCGCCCGGGGGAGGTCCCAGAAGGGCACACATTTCTGCTACGTGCTGCACGCTAGAATTCTTACCGTCAGCATCTGTAGTGTCAAATAAAGGATCGCCCTCCATGAGATGCCACGCCTGAATATTCTTAGTTAACGTAGACCCCAAGAGCAACACTCGTTTACCATCATTCCGACAGACCATGTCCACTTTGTCCGCCCAAGGCATCTGTAGAACCACTTGGGTGCTCGGTACAGGAACGGCTGAATCAGCGCATCGTAGCTATCAGCGCCATTGCGAGCTTCGCCAAAGTCACAAATCATCGGTTGTCCAAAGTTAAGTTTTTTCGGCACTCCAAGCTCGCGGGACTCGTAGATCACTCGATCACCATCGACCTTGCGAGCACTCGGGTGTTCCATCTCATCCCGCTCAAGATCTGAGAAAATCGTCTTATCACCAGACGCCACGAGGATATTCTTCGGGTGCAGATCTTGCAGTAGTATATCAGTCGTGGTAGAAAAATGGACGTACCTGTATGTATCACTTTGGCTTTAGAATGCAGGAAGTCGAGAGCGTAGAGAACGCGGATGAGTATGCTCTTTACGCATTCCTCGGGAAGCTGGTGCCCCGGAAAGATCCTCCGATGAGAAGTCAAATTCTGAGCCATAGTTGATGAACGAGACATTGGCGAGCATCGTCTTTCCCCATAATCACGAAATCGTCTAGGCTGGTGCGGATTAAAGTGGCACCAAAATGCTCTGACTTGATCTTATTGAGGTGTCTAAAGACCTGTGCTTCTCACAGACCCTGAGAAGAATTCGGCCTCGTAAATCTTCAATGCGACATATCTATGCGTTCTATCCTCTCTGTAAGCAAACCGGGCCTCGAGATTCTATCTAGTCTTTATGCAACAACACGCATCGGAGATCCCGACAAAACCATACTGTTGAATACGTTCCGTAGCCGAGCTTTCCAATGACTTGATATCGCGAACGATAGATGTCGCACAAACGCACCGGGTAGAATACATGCGGCTTGTACCAGGCGAGGTTCTCCTCTTCGACTTTGGCGGAGGGGTCGATGAGGCTGAAGCCTGTTGTGGGAGTTTGCCTTGGAGGAGATGGCGAACGGCGGAGCAGCCTACGGGCCCATCGGACTTTTGAGATCATAAATATTAAAAAACAAGTTATGTGGATGGAAGCATGGAGGACTTGGGAATGCGTGAAGCAATCGTGAAGCACGCGCGAAAAGGCTAGCCAGTTTGTTGATATTCGCTCGGCAGCCGCCGCTGTACAGGCTGCAGCCACATCATTGAAAGGTCATAAGCTACTAGCACAAAAATTCATCCATTCCATTAGGAGGAAATGGACCCTTTGCGAGACTCAAGAGAACTTATTTTGCGACCTAGTTGAAGGCTCGACAAATGCGCGTTTCGCAGCTCTGGAAAGGCAAAAAGCCACCTTCGACTATGGAAAAAGGTTAGATCCCTACATTGTGGTATTCAAGTCTTATCGCACACTTCCAATGCCTTTCATTGT